AGGGGAGGGCAGGGGAGGGGAGGATTACCTTTGCTTTAGGGTTATTTTGAGGGAGCTGAGAAGAGACATGTACAGTGCCTAGCACATAACAAGAGCTCAGTAAATGTTAGTTGTTTTCCTTTGTCACCGCGAATTTCGGCAGCCTTGCTTGACGCTGCAGTGGGGAACAGCAGCGAGTAGTAAGTGGGAGGATCACTGTCCTCCCTTTGATTTTCAGACCCTACCTTCCCTGTGCCCTGATCTACGACAGCTACTTAGCGTCTCCTTTGGTATCCCAAGTACTTTCTGTCAGCAGCCTCAACTCCTCGGACAGTCTAAGTGGAGCATATGTGATAAATGAGATTATTTCCACTGACTGACTGTGGCGTCCTTCGTCGCAGCCCCGCCTGCAGCTAAGCGAGTGCGGAGCGAGGCTGCCGAGTGAGGAGCGAAGTCAGGGCCGCGCGGCCTGCTCAGGAGAAGCGGCGGGCGGTGCGCGGAGCCTGCCCGAGGGACACGTGCTCCGTGCCCGCTGACACTCTGTTCGTTCCACGCTTTTGCAGGGTTTTCAGTGGCAGTGGGCTCAAGCCTGGTTTTTATCTTCCTCCCTGATTGGCCTCCCCTCCTTTTCCCAAGCCTCTTATTCGGGCTTCCGTCCTAACTTTGACAGCCAAACCTTATTTCCAGGGGCAAAGAGAATGGACTCAGTTCTATAAACCAGCGATTTCCACCCGGTGTGCCCCCAAAATTTTTAAAACCTGCAACACCTGACTATTTAGTCAGGGGCACTGACCGCTTTTCCCTTAGACTGTCAAATAAAAAAATGGCAACAGCCAACACGACAATAGCCATCCAGTGCGCATGAACCAAGATTATACCTATTTTTTGTCACATCAGCAAAAAAATATATTTTTTGGTGTGCCGCAGAAGTTTAGTAATTAGTTTATGTGTGCCATGCGATGAAAAAGGTTGAAAACCGCTGCTGTAGACAAAAGGGAAACAGTGCTGTTTTTTTGCAGATTGACCTCCACTGTGAGCCAGCTCCCAACTGCGATGCTCAAACGTGTTAGCGTTTCTTGTTTTGTTGTTTATTTTGGTAGAAATTAGGGAGAGCTTGTAAACTGATTCCTGATTTAATTTCACAAATCAGGGATGGGATCCAAACCTGGGATGGGTGTTTAAAACCATCAACTTACATTTACATCTAGGCCAGTATAGTAATTCCCTGTAACATCACATCTCAGGGACCCATTCTCAAAGTGCTCCTCTCTGCATCTGCTCTTTCCAAAGGAGGACACTTCTCCCAGTTCTTTTTTAGCCTCCTATTTCCCCACCCTTAACACACACCCATCACTGTGCTTAATATATTACTTCTCCAAAGTCCTAGGAACAGTGAGGGTCCATGTTTATTTTTATATCCTGCCAGCAGACTTCCATGCTCCTCCCCATCAGAAGGTTGTCCCTGGGGGGGAAGGAAACTCAGGGGGAGCAGAGCAGAACATCTGGGGCAAACGGGAGCTCCTGCCATTCTGTAGAGACTAAATCGGGTCATCTTCCAGTTTGACTTTTCATATCTAGACTCCCTGGAAACTATTTCTTGAGCATTCCCTAATTCCATTAGTGGGCCAAGGTTAGGGATGGGAAGAGTCTTTGAGTAACACTACAGAGAGCACTTTTGTCACAGAGCAACAGCCTGGAATGATAACCGTCAGCGTTTCAGGTGGATATATTTGGCTTACTAGCTGGTTATGAGTTTTGTTTGTTTGTTGGAGAGGAAGGGTGATAGGTCGGAAGGGGCAGGTAACCGAGGGTTTCAGGAAAGAAGGCTAGAGATACTCTTATTTCTAGAGCATATGGTACAACTCCAGAATTCTAGACCAAAATTTGAGAAACTAATGAAAATTTGGAGAACATGAAAAAATTAGAAAAAAAAGGAATGATAATAAACTCACTTTTCTTCTTAAACAACAGAAAGAAAGACTGCGTCAGAAGGAAGCCAGTGTGACCACCAACTGAAAAAGAGACACGGGAAAACGACAGCAAGACTGAGTACCTTGCTTATCCTTTGCAACACCAGCCTGCAGGGAGTTCTTGAAAGATATGTGACTAAACGTTTCTTTTGCTCATGGCTTTGTGAGGTATCTGCAGTGAGAACCGCGCCGTCTCTAAGAAGTCCCTGCTTAAGCCACAGAAACAAGGCAAAGCTGTCTAAGGGAACACTGCAGGAGTGTTTGACGATTGTTTCTGTAGAGGTCCAGAGTCCACTTTGTTATAAGACCAGAAGAAATCCTAAGATTTTCCAAATTTTTTTAAAAGCAGATATTTCAAGCTTTCTAACCACTCTTGACATACGTAAATTTGTGACGGAAGAAGAGAAGGATGGTTATGACTGTTGCCTTGAGAGAGTTCAAGCCTTTACACACTGCTGGTGTGATTATTGATCGTAATTTTGATCCCACTGCATCAAGATCCTGAAGTGTCTTTCTCACCAACAGTGTTGAAATTTACCAAAACTATTTTTAAAGAGGTCCAAGAATATGTATTTCCCAGAGAGAAATGGTTATTTTGTCATCGTTGTTGTTCCTGTTATGGAAAGGAGAGAAAATAGGATTGTACATGGGTGGAGAAGGGGTTAAATAACCATAAACTTCATAAACCTGAAGAACAAATTATGATACAGGGAGTTGACATCAGCCATTAACCCAAGACGGTTTCCTTTGTTTTCATATCAATTAATTGTGGTTTCCTGGACCAGCAGGGTTTCTCTACCCCAAATTCCTGAAAAACAGTGATAGCTGAGCAGGGAGACACTTGGGGTCAAAGCACCTGCTTGGACAAGTGACACAATAGCAGAGCACATTTCATGTCTCAGAACATTCGTGAAAGGGTGATGCCTGTTGACATGCACCTGAGCTCTGCGTCATGTTCTGGGACTGTGTGCAGCCGGACCCTCCCCACCAACCCCAGGAGGCAGTTTCCAGACAGGATTGCAAATGTTACAGCCTTTTATCATGACCTTGACTGACAGGTGTGTGACGTAGGGTGAAGCAGGCGTCTTTGATGTCTGAAAAATTAAGGTCAGAAAAGTTCTTTATATCCAAATGCAAAGATGGTGATCACATTAACCTTAAACTTTGAGTGGACTGTCGCGCATGTGTGGCTTTTTCTGACCCTGGGAGCCAACATGACCACTGCCCCTTGAGTCGCAAGAGAAATGAATCTATCTTGTGAGGGGAGAGTAGAGGTGATTGGAGGTGAACTGATAATAGGATCAAAGACTGTCAGATTTGGGCCTTGAAGGGAGAGAGGTCAAAGCTTTCTCCTCTAATTTGTGGAGGACAGTCTAGACATGAACAACAACCTTAAACCCTTCCCAGTCCAGCTGCTGTGTGTGGCCTGACCCTTGTCCTAGGACCTCTCAACTTGCCAGGTGGCTGAGTTTCTACCCAGGACATGCCTGCCAGTTATCAGCCCCCTCAGGGATCCAGCTAATTAAAGCAATACCATATCCTAATATAATGCCCATCTTGGGAGTGAGGAATGCACAGTCAGGATCAAATCAAGTCTTCGAAGCCATATTCATGCAGGTGCTAACCACCTTTTCTAACAATTCAGAGTAAAGGAATTTGGTAAACATAGTTGGGTTGATTTTGTAAGACTAGTCACAAGTAGTATGTTAGTATATTAAGACACCAGGGTAGAGTCTCCGTTATTTTCACCCAGTTTGAATCCTGCACTATGTATCGGGATGCCCTCTTCCCAGTCCCCGCACATGCTGCACTGTTAACATCACCTTCATTTCTAACTTCAGTCGATCGTCAGTAAAGGCTCACAAGAGTTTGTTCAAGGTAGGCCATCTGAAACCACCTGGAGGCCTTAAAATGTTTCCTCTAAAGTGCAGTTGAAATTGTGTTTAAATACAACAGATGCCTGTAAACTTCTCATGGAAAGGAAGTAGTTGGGGCACCACTGAGCAGCTTGAGCATTTCAGGCAAGAAAGACTTAATCACAGCCCGCCCCGAGCAAGGGAGAGTGGCCCGTGTTGCTACTGTGTTCAGCCGGACACACGTCTGACTTACGAGTCAGACTCTGAGACACCTTAACTTACGAACAGCATCATCTCCTCCTAGCCAGCTCTGAGGGCACAGTAGATAGCAGTGCAGATTCTTGCATGAGTGACTGGCGTCCCCCTTGCGCACACAAGTATATCATATATTAAATCAGAGCATGATATAAACATGTTAGGTTAAAACAAAATCAGGCCTGTGAGGTGTCCAAAATCAGATGAGGAGGCGGGCTGTATGGCTTTTAACCCAAGAGGAGGCCACTTACTGGGGGAGGAAAAAGGGAGAATGTGGTCAAGCAGAAACTGATGGTGGATCCCCAGCCGTCGCAGGTGATGGACCTGCTGCCCAGCAGTTGCCTTTTGAATACTTGAGCTGATGTCCATGATGTCTCTTCAACTGCTTGCTGCAACTACCTGGGAATTATGGAGGAAGAGTTTCTGAAATCTGAGAAGTAGGGTAAGGAGACCTAGGGGTACTATTGCATCTGGAAATGTTGTGGCCTCAACACACTGGCAGCGTAGTTGAGGAACTGAATGTCAGATCAGATGCTGGTCTCCGACTCCTGTTCCCCCAGGATGGATGCGGAAACTGCTCACCTGCTGAGCCTCCCTTAGGCACCCCCTTTGTCCATAAGTAGCATGAGGAAAGGCGTGTCCTAAATGAGAAGCTCATAGGCTGCTGGTGGAGCAAAAGAGAAGCTGAAGGAAGGAATAGAATTCTTTGGTGTGTGGGAAACCTCCCCAAAGATAGTCATCAATATAGTTCTTCCAGGGACCGGGATTGGGTGTAGCAGAAGAGATGTTAGTGTCTTTTTGCACCTCTCTCCATAGATTGCACTGCCAGTTCTGGGGGAGTTTTCATTTTAATTATTCTTGCTTTCTTGAATGTTATGTTTTCTCATTTCTGTTTCTTCTTCTCTCTGGCCTGGCGTGATTTATGCAGCTCACCACCTGCAGCAGCCCAGCAAACAGGGGCTAGTCCGTGTGTGAGGGGGAATTAGCACTGCAGACAGGCAGCCTCTCTCCCAGTAAGCAGACCTTAACTTGGGCAGGGGAACTCCTTCAGTCCTTGATATCCTAAATTGGTCTATTTTGTCATGTTCTCCCTTCCCCCAAACAAATATAAAACCAATTGGGAGCTTTCTGTGTCAAGAAGAGGGAAGAAGTCCAAAAAATATAGCTTTTCCCCCAAAATATCTAATCCAAATATCAAATATACAATTTTATAAAGTAGTTTAAGTTGTCGTCAGGAATTGCTAGGAAGAACTGTTAGATTTGAGGTTCATTTCTCTTTGGTCCTACCCGTTCTAATCAGGGGGGAGGGGAACACCAAGAGCTGGAAGGGAAAATAAAAGCATCAGCTGATTTGGTAATCTACAAATTAATTTATTAGTTCCTGAATCACACACACACAAAACCATGAACATACTGTGAAATCCAATGAGTTTATCTTTGAAAAAGCCACATAGAAGAAATGACATGTTGTAGTGGTAGGAGAAGGGCTAGACAATTAAAATTTCCTTACTCTGGGTTTTCTTAAGAGCAGTTTATAAATGTGTGGAGCATCCAGAAGACCATTACCATCACATTTCACGTATTAGGAACCTGTAGGGACAATACCATTAAAGAGAGTGGATTGATAAAGACATGAACTTTCATTCATGTCAACTACTTTGTCATCATAAAGAAATCTGCGACATAAGAGAACCAAGTCTGTGTGGCCAAGCTAATTATAGTATTGAGTAGGAATTGAAAAGTAGGAATCATTTTCAGCCTCTCCAAAATGCAAATAACTTGGATATATTTCCATTTTCCAGCTGTAGAGAGAAATACTCCAGCTGCTTGGAACCTTCTCTGTAAGTGGGGCAGAAGTCACTTAAAGAAAAGCACCTTCAGAAACAGGCCTCAGCAGATCTGGCTCCTGTAGGCTCACATATCGGTATTTATAACTCCGTTAGCAATTGAACCCAGGCCTGCTAGGCTTCATAACAGCTGTATGGAACTGAGAAGCCCATTTTGTGTCAGTTTTGCACACCCACCAGTTGTTGACACCTTGTTAGAAGCACTGAGTGTTAGTTTCACAATTCTTCATTTCCCTCCCAAGGAGCGGGCGTTCTACCAACCCCTCCTCCAGATCAGTGCTTTCCTGGGCAGTAGTGAATCCAAGAACACGTCCAACTTGACGCCAATTCAGTAGTCTTGTTTGTCCCAAAACTCTCTAATCAGCACTGTGATATACACTGAGTGTCTGGGAAATTTGTGTGGCTGACAATTCACTTGGAAACGTAAAGATACTAAGATGGCAGCTAGCTACTATCTCTCAAGTCCCCATGCAGTTTCTACCAAGGCAGAGATTAGGGAAGCAAAGCAAGCCTCATTCAGTAGGTTGGCTGTCCTCAAATGGCGCTCGTTGGGTTCACGTCCCCTCTCTCCCCAGCCCCTGTCCCAGCCACCCTGGTGGTAGTAACGTAGAGGACCTTTTCCCTCTCATCCTTCCTTTCTCTGGGATGATGACTTCTTTCAGTCAACAGCTCAAACTCCAGACTTGGTTGCATATTATATCTATGAAGCACTTGTTCATGAATTTCTTCTCCATTCTATGATCCGGGGGCGACTGACTTAAATTGTATATGAAAGTGGTAGCTAAAGCCATTAATTTATTGTTCCACATTCCATCTGTGTTTACATAATTTACTGGGTTTTGTTGTTTTTGTTTTAATTTTCCCTCAATACTAAGAACCTCCAGTCTGCCTCTTTTTCTAAAAGCTGATGTAGATACTTACTTCTGTGGGCTTTTTTTTTTTTTAATGTTTTATGTGAAATTCGATAGCATTGAGCTAGCAAAATGCAAATGAGCCCATAGTTTTTTGAAGAAATTCATCTCCAAAGAATTTGGCATGCTCCCCCAAGGAAAAACAGCCGTCTACCAGACCGAGACTGTTTTGTAGGCTGAGCATTTCCCTAAATTCTACCTGTACAGACCCCAAGGGGCTCTCTGTCTTTGAAACTATAAAACTGTCTAAGAAGAAAATGAATATTTCTCCCCCATATATAGCGTGAGCAGCCAGTGCATTATGCGTAGCGCATCAGGTGAGAAATCGAGGGTTTTCAAGTGCGCATTCACGCTGGTTTGTCAACATCTTTGGCAATGTTGTACCTACTTTCCTTCCTTGTTCTCTCTCAGGGCTTACTTCCATCCTTGTCTCATGGAGCAGCTGTATTTCTGTTTATTCATTTGTTCAACTTTCCCACATGGAAGGCTAGTCCCATAGACCACTGAGTATACAGGGAAATTACTCTCTGCCTCCCTGTGACATGGGTGATAGGTGCGCTCAGGGATGAACAACTCTCTGAGAGAGAACTCTTGGGATGAACTTTGAATTTCAGGCCTCTTTCTATGAGATCTTTAAAAGTGGGCATATAGCATACAGAAATGGTACTACCCTTTCCAATAAGAGACTAAAAGGAGATTCAAAATCCTTACATTTTAGATAGGTTTGAGTGAACTAAAAGTAGCTATTTTTTTTCTTCGTGGCAACTGGTCCCTGGCTATAATCTTATTTCTTTACTTCTGACCACCAAGACATAAAGAAGGTGGTCTCAGCCCTCTGCATAATCTTCCAAAAACATCCATTTCCTTTGGAAACAAATCCATGAGTGAGGGGGAAGTCTAGCAACAGTTCTCTGCCCAGGGTGACACAAGCAGGACTTCTAGGTCTACCAGAGGACTATTCCAAGTCACTAATTTTACAATTCTGCAATTCTTCAGCTTCTCAAAACACAAATGACTCCACTGTTAGTAGAATGTGT